ACTTAAACATATTCATCTCTTCAAAATAAATCACGATTAAGTTCTTGACATGCTTTATAATGATTAATTATTTGATCTTCAGTAAAAATATTACATTGGAATAGAAATAAATAAATAAAAACAAAATTCTTGTACCAATATCTTATTGAGATATTTCGATGAACAACACATTTAGATAAAACACAGACTCGTTTTATTATATTTATTGCTACTTCATCACTATATTAATTAATAATAATGAATTAAAAATAAAATAAAAACAAATAAACTTTGTATATTCTCCTGCAACTGCTTGAACAATAAGACCAGGTAATTGAATAAGTGTATTATAATTTGCGTCGATTATTTTCTTAAATTATTTTATTTAAAAAAGAAACAAAAAAAATTCTTACTCAGTAAATAGCATAGCATGTTGATAAAAACGGAAACATTAGTGTAGTTGCATTTTCTAGCCATAAAAATACAAATCTAAATGATAATAAAAGCCAAAAATTTTTATTAAACCTATATACCTGATAGCAAAATAAAGAATAGGTGAAGATTATCACGTTTTAATATTTGTTGATCAAATCATTTTTTATTAGATGAAAATCACATGTGTTTATCACTTAAAAAAATTAAGATGTAATTTCGAAGGATTATACCAGTAAAAAATTTCGGACTGACAATCGAATTAGTGTGCACCAAAATATAGATTCCAATCAGATTGATAGATTTTTCTTTGTTTTCTCACAGAGGAAATCTACAAATTGAATTAAAATCTAGATTTTCTTACACAATAATTCGATTGTCATTCGGAAACTTTTCATTCGTTCATTATTTATTTGAAGTGAAAGAAATAAAGATGATTGAAAATATATAAATAAAAAATTGTAATTAAAAAAAATATAAATAAATATTCTTGCGTCATTGATAATTTTTATTGCGAATTAGAGCTGGAAACCTTTTGTATGTTTGTAGCAATGGGCATCATCATATCTGCAGACATATATGCATATATATTTATCGAGTGAATGCCACTGCTTACTTTGTTTATCAATTGATTTTTGAAGTTGGGTGTGGGTGTTGTGACGTGAAATAGAACACTAACGCCCACACTCCAATCTTCACTCAAACCCAAACTCACATCCACACACCCGCTCACATCCTGATTTTGCATATCTATTAGAGAATTATTATTTTTTGGATCACAACATACGAAATTTAATATCATTGTTATCACCACATATCAATGGACTTCGCATTTAGTGTTCTCAGTGTTTTACGTTACATGATGAAATCAGTTCTTCCGATATTGCTTATTTTATAGTATACAATAAAAAAAAATGACTGTATACTCTTGGTTAATCTAAATCTGATTATGCATTTGAACAATAGAAATTTTATTCTTATTTCGATATTCTATGTAAATTTCTTATAATGAACACAAGTAATATACATGCTCCATTAGTTATATTAACAGATGAACATTTATTTGAGTGACAAAATTAACATTTCAATGCTGTTATTCTACATTCAAATCTACACTACAGTTCTTTTATCTAAAGTATAACGATGCTTTCAAATGATTTCATGAAAGAAGATCTCAGAGATCCATTCAGGATAATCTGAATAATAAACACACGCTGGTACCGCTTGAATCGTACTTGCAAACCAATGACGTATGCACTATTCTTCTCTGTCGCCCGTATTTCGATCAACATCTCCCAAAAACGAGAGTCGTTGTAATCTGCTCTCATCATATTTGAAAAGAGTCAAATCAGGATTGTCACGTTCACACTCGTCGCTTTAAATTAATTTCTTGTACGTGACGTAGATGACTAAGAAAGAGAAAATGGTAAGTATTTTGCATTTACCAATAAAATTATATTTTTATCCTTTAGTTATACTTTTTACTCTCTTAAGTCTTTTTACTTCTTTTAACCCTTTATTTCCTTTAGCTTTCTAACTTCTTCACTTAATGTTGTGTTTATAGGGTTCGTGTGCCTAGTCGTTATAGTACAAAAGTAAATAACTAAAAGTAGCCAAAGAAGTAACTAAATGACATGAACTTTATATCATGATAGCTTCAATTTCTTGTTGACCTACGAACTCGACACAGAGATCGACAACATATGAATTTGATTCCTGGCCCAAAGTATAAAAATACTTTTTATTTTACATAAAGGTCTGACTGAAAATATTTCTGATACTTAGAGTGTGCCTTTAAAGCAGTTGGGTAAAAACTTTAAAATGTTGTGCTCAAACATCTACAAGTAGAGTTCGACCACACGAAGCTTGTGACATTAGTACGTAAGACTTCACAAAATATATCGAAGAACTTATTTATCTAATAAAAACTGAATGAGAAGCGTTTCTATGGGAAATCCACCATGTTATTCAAAAGGATAACATGGTAGATTTTCAATGAACTCAGTCCTCGGACATCAACTTCCTATGAACTTCAAATCAGTTCTAATTTTTATTAATTTCAAATACAGCTGTATTTAAGATACGAGTCATTACTAAATTTTGGAAAACGTGAGATATTAATTTTTGCATCCACAATGATTAAAATAGAAATAACCAGTATTTACAGCAACTTAGTCCATATAGAAAGATTTCAGAAGTTCTTGAAAGTTTTTAATAAAAGAGCTTCTTTAGCAAATCACTTGATCAGTTGTGGAGTCTCCTGCCATTCCTGTTGTTAAATATGATTAACTTGAGATCTCTGTGAAATGCTTAGATATGCGACAAAGCCAGTGTCAGAGAATTAATACTAACGAATAAAATAAATCCTTTTCTGATGAAATAAATAATATACAGAGATGTATAGTATACAACTATAATGATCATACCGAGATGCAACTTCTCAACTAATATACTTGCAAGCATAGAACTACAACTTATAACAATATTTCTGTCTGCAATCAAGCGCTAATACATAAGAACTATATCAGAACAATCCACATGAACATGATCAATCAACAAATAGAGAACATAGGTCAGTCAGAACAGCGTCGACACTCGTACGGCATGTTCTGTACACTTGATACACACACAACCTCTGAGATTCGTATATGTGCCAGACTTGGAACCGGTCTGATTTTTTCAGACCGGACCGGACCGGCCGGTTTGACTTTTTCGACCGGACCGGACCGGCCGGTCCAAACTCTTGCCTGGACCGTTGAAAAACCGGCAAAAAACCGGCCGGTCCAAGTTTATGACTTGACCGGCGAAAAAACGGCTGACCCAAATTCTTGTTTTAACTGACGAAAAAAACAGTGCACTCGTGTATTAGCTAAACAGTCAATGTTTTCACGAAACAGTTTGTTAGTTTAGCTCTACTAAGACATATAATAGCAAACTCATACGATTCTTGGAGCTTCTAATAGCAGCGACTTCATTTTTAGTCTGTCATGTTTTGTATGCTAATATTCAGAACCAATGAAAATTTCTTTCAAAAAGTTTTGACTATGGCTCACAGCAACTAGGATTCAACATCAGCTAACTATTCTGTGAGCCTTTTCAAATAACGATATGATTTCTTTACCATTGATAGGTTTAGTCTATTCTTATCTGAAATACTTAGTTCCTTAACACAGTTGAAATGTGTTCCATTCCACAGAAGAATGCTACTGCAGGGAGGAAGATAATGTGAGCTAATCGGTAAGATTTTTACATTAGACTTTCTATTTGCGGTTTATTGACACCTAAATATTATCGTGGTTGCATGATGCTACTAGTTAGAAAGATCGTGACAACAGAAACGATTTTATTCAAAACATTTTGCTATGAAAGCATGAATTTGAATACTGGTGGCTATTGGGCTTCTATGAAAATCAGCTAAGATTGCGACATACGAGTGATCCGAAATTTCAAGAAAAATGTTGAATTAAATCGACAGCAGCTTGCAAAATCTAGGTAACTTTTCGTGAGTATAATGAATTCATTCGACATAATATGAGCCTCTGATGAAAGGATAAGAGTGTTGGTCAATATTTAGAGCTGGTATTTCCAATACGATTGAAGTTTTGCCAGTAGGAAATTTTCCGAATTAAATCGATTCACCATTGGTTCCATGAAAAATCCTTAAAAATGAGCAAAATAAGCAAGTTTTAGTTGTCAAAATTCTTAAAAAAAAACCGGTAAAAAACCCGTGAAGACCGGCCGGTCTGAAAATTCAGACCGGACCGGATCGGTAACCGGCCGACCGGCCGGTCCGGTTCCAAGTATGCCCCACACCCTATCAAATAATGATTGATATAATGGCTGTTGATGTGGTACTAGTGTTTCTTGCATACGTTTCGAAGGATTTTATTGCAGAACAACATCTTGTTTTCTAACTGCACCTAAACCAAATCAAACGATATCGGGTTTAGTTTCAAGTTGTCTACTTGTTGATTCTCTTCTTGTATCTTCACTTAAATACTTTTATAATAAATCATGTATTCAAATGCTTATTGAATGGCATTCATTTAGATCATCTAATGTTACAATAGATTCTCGTGCTGCCAATTTTACTCCACTTGATCCAACGGTTAATAGTCATTTTTCTCCTGATATGAAATTAAATATTGTTTCACGATTATTTATTGAAAATTGGATAAGTTCTACTGATTTTAGTTTCTATTATAATCAATGTGCACCAGATAAATGTATTTATATCTATGAAGAATGTTTTAATAGAGCTTATGTTATCGCAACAATACTCGATATAAGCGGTGACCATTCTACTGCACTTCGAATATTGATTTTACCTATTGTGAAACTATTTCGACGAATGTATTATTATTGTTGTCGACCTTAGAAAACAGTTGCAAGAGAATGTTTCGTCGAAATAGGTAAGAATGAATTAATTAATGAGGGAACCATTCAAGGCAATACTTAGCATTTGAGACAAGACTCCAGTCATTATGCAAGACCTTTGAAGAAACTAGAAGAAATCTAGAAAGATGTTTCTTCATGCGCTGCCCTTTTGGTGGAATATCATGATTGAAAGCATTCTTTTTGACTGAAA